TGCCTGCAGTCGACTCTAGAGGATCCCACATATATATATATATATATATATATGTTGTATTTATGGATGTACAAATGGTATGTGTATTTGTAATTATGAATGTATTCTGTCACTGTTAACCCCGAAAAAGGGTTCATCTTTGATAGGACGTATAACTATACTGTCTAGCCTTCTATAGCCTTCGGGCACTTCCCTTTTTTGTTATAAAAAACAAAAACCAAAATATTATGTAAATAAATACATAAACTCCAAGAGAGTCTGACTTGAACAATTCTTCAGTGAATATTTAGCTATTGGTCTTAAAATACACACTGTAGACTTTTTTTTCTTCTATTGCAGACAACAGTAGTAGTAAATCTATTATAAATACCGATATATCATCAGTTGTGTTCATACTTTCATTCAAAACGTCGTCGTAATGCTACGCAGTAATCCATCCATACAATCCACTCGGACCTTGACTGTGGGGGTTTCTTATTGGACACGGGTATCACTGGCGGGACACCTCAAAACACGTCCCCAGTTACGCACATACACCGTCGCTCAGACCACAGTAACATCTGGTAGTGGGTTGTCCGGAAAGATCAGCAGACGTCCCCACATACGCACATACACCACTGCTCAAACCTCAATAACACATAGTAATAGATGGTATGAAAAGAGACGAATGCTGGTTGGCTGCGTTTCAGTTGCGGCGGCAGCTTTTGGTACTCTAGTGGTCTCGTTGGATAAGAAGGCTGGGGCAAAGGCGAGCCTGGCTGAAGAGGTACGGCAGCTTTTATTTTATCACTAAATATGTTTCGATTTAGCCTCGTAATCATTCTCTTGTTGAATCTTGGTTTGAACATTTTTAATGTAAGCGTGCGTATCGAGATTAAATTGGAGTATTGCCCGTATTGCTTGAGGCAATCACTTAATCAGTACATAATCAACTCGTGTTTGGCTCGACCGTAGCGCTTGCAGCGTAAAGCAACTCTTGTATGTAAATGGAAATCGAAGTTCAGTCAGATTAAGGTTCGCGTAATAATTGTACAAGACGGTCACAAATACTAATTGCTCTCTGATCCAGATATGAGCGTGTTTCCATGTGTTCGATTAAGATTTCGTCGATTTCATAGCGTCATTGGGCCGCGCACTCCATACCAACTCAATATACAAGTTGCAAAATATCACATTCGAATTAGCGTCATTGTGTCTTACAAAATCATCAAACAATCTAACATTGCAGAATATGCTTGTAATAGGGGAGCTAAGTGCTTCTATCTCGGCTCGGCCTTCAATACTCGAACATATACACGTACATTTATTGTGTATATCCTCCACATATTAGACTACTTCCACATAAAGAAAAGCATATATTTCCAGCTAAGGCAGGGTTTTTATTGCAGCACTAGAATCTATATATATATATGTATGTGTGTGTGTGTGTGTGTGTTTG